TTAAACACACGACTAAAGAAATGCAATTTACTTCAGTTTTTAGATATTTCGTGTATTTTTCTGTATTAAATATTCAAATGCATAAAGATTAGTATTACGCGACACGATGAAATATTACCTTGTATTATCAGGTTAAAATCATCGGTACACACAGATACGGCACATTAATTTCTATACAAATTGATCTTTCTCGCAGAAAAATTCCGATCGCTTGAATCCTCTCTTCAAGCCAGAGACATTATTTTAATCCAGTGTTTTTCCTTAACGACCCACCCTCGAACTAAATAGAAACTTTTATCGCTCGGACTAACTACGGGAAAGGAAATTCCCGTTTGTTTTGCTTGTAAAATGCCGCGGGTTTGCGAGACGCTTGACATACGTCTGGCGGAAATTCAGATTAAAATCTGCTGAACCAAAGAAGCAGCGTGCCCTTTTAATAGTCGCAGCCGACGAGGCCGGAATGCAATATAGTTAAATTTCAAGAATTAAACGAAACGAAACGCGCGCAGTTCAGCGAGAATTGCGTGTAAATTACGTTTTAATTGTAATCTCGTCGATGTTCCGGGACGAAGAATTAAAAGAATGACAAGAGTATTTTCAATTCTGCGCGACGAGAGAGGAATTCGTTTTTTTCCCCTCCCCGTTCGCGTTGTTGAGCGACGTTAAAACCCGAAAAGGGGCCTCGGGGTCCCTAAAAAATTCATCGTTGACCCCGCGGGGAATGACGAGTCTCTTGAAATATAAAGTATCTTAAATTTGATCCGCGGAAAGGCAATTTTTCCCCCGGCTGCGGTCCTTTCGTTTTTCTTGCTTTATCGAGTCGCCGGACCACCAATTACGACTATCTTTCGTTTTCTCTTCGTTCTTCTCCTGACTCGCTCATTTGTCAATTTCTTTAAATTTCACGAAATCATCGATGCCAAAGGCAAGTCACGGTGACGAGAAAATACTAAAAAATATTGATCACAGTTGCAGCGAGAGACTACCAAAGATCATGCAATTTAATCGGCTTGTCTCTCCAAAGAGTATTACTTTCTGAGGATATTATCCTTGCACGTCATAATTTTATGGGACGTACCTCTTTGCACGCTTGTGTCTTTCAAACTGCTTCTCCAATATCACGAAGAAAGATGGATATCCGACGACTCCAAAACACTTCTGCGCACGACACTTTACACGACGAATAACGTGAATCGAATCTTTAATTCCGCGCAACTTTTATATTTTCTACCTTCCACTCGGCTCGCGACACGACAGCACACTAAACGTCGACTCGGTTTTACGCAGGTCGTCTTGCTTTCATTTGTCGCACGGTTTTTGTTCTCGCTCGTGCAAGATTCCCGAGTAAGAAGGGGCAAAAACTGTGCACAATATATTGAAGGGCTCTCGTCGTGCTTGCCGTGGTAAATACGACGCGAGGTTGTACGTACATACAACAATAAGAAATCAGCTATTTCGTACAATGTTCGAAATTCCTGGCAGTAATAATTAAACTGAAATGATTTGAATTTTTCAGGATATGAGTATCTCTCGTTCGAGTTCGAGTAATTTCATTATGCAATATGCACCCAAGAGTGCAAGAATAATTTGTTGGATATAAATATTAAATTACAAAATTATTGGATCTTACGAATTGTAATATTACTGAATTTCATGGAGTAATTATAGAATAATTTACTGAATACTTATTTAAATTTTTATGATTTTTTTTCAACGATCGTATTACTGCCGAGTAATTTATTTATTTGTCTTGATCGTTTTAACCTGCGATAATTACTTGAGTAACTGACTGAAATTTAGCAAGTTTAAGAAAGGTATTCGCAACACCGTTGCTTCGATGAAACGTTAATTGTTCGGGATTTTCTTCGTTCGCTCGAAGACCAATGAAAACACGACTGAACGCAATCCTGTTAAACAAACAGAAGTAATTATTTTTTAACATGATCGAAACTGAATCGCGAGATCTGCTGTGCATCAGTCACAATTGGTGACGTGGAAAATAAGTCGAATTACACTTCCAAAAACACTACCAATTGCCAATAAATCACTTTCAAAATGAAGGAACACAACGACAAACGCAATTAAAATAAAACCAATAAAATCGTCTCGCACGATTCTTCGATTTTCCTAATCGGACAAAAGGCACGAGAATTCCAAGGATAGGAAAGCCCTGTTTCCCTCCATCTCCAAGGACATAGAAATCCTATCCATCTATCCCCCAACGAAGAGGCGAGCGTTCAACTTCCGCAGGAAATCAGCTAGCTATTTGACAAGAATGCGCTCGGCGTTTTTCTTCTCCGAGGTCGAGAAGAATGCTTCGAGAAGAGAAAGAAAGTTGAAACGAAACTAGTTCCCTCGCTAATTCCCCGAGAATTCCCCCGGTAACAATCCGACTGGCGACGACTGGTAACTGAACGAAATAAATAAAGGGGGGGGAGGGGGGAAACGGTGAGAGCCAGGGCTCTAATTTACGACACTGGTTGCAGGAACTTCGAGTACGAGGCCGGGGATTACAGTCGGCGAGTGCGTTTCGTGATGGCACACGACCCGAACCAGCTGGTCCTCCATGTAGCTGGTTACGGCGAGCTGAACATTAAGCCAGAGACCGGAAGCGGAGGGTTGTTGGGCAGCTCGAGCAGCCTGGCACCTCCTGGAGGATCACCGGGCCTCATGAGAAGCAAGAGCGACCATCGTCTGGCATCGCAGTACCGACAGCAAGAGGAAGAGCGACTGGCGAGAAATCGATACGTGCCCGAATACGAGTAATTATCCCTTCTACATCTTTTTTCTTTTTTTTTTTTTTTTTTTTTTTTTTTTTTTTTTTTTTTTTTT